AATCACTGCTATTAAGGAATCAAAGAACATTGCTACTCTCAAGTTAGATGAACTGATTGGAAATCTCACTGCCTATGAACTGAGAAGGCAAACCATGAAAATGGATGCACCCAAGAAGGAAAAGAGTCTTGTTCTCAGGGTAGCTAAAGGTACAGATCTAGAGGATGATGAAATGGCTATGATCACAAGGGATTTCAAAAAGTACCTGATGAGAGGAAAGGGTTCTTCAAGAGGTACAACCTTCAACAAACCAAGGGCTCCTGAGAAACAGACCAACGAGGGCTGCTACAAATGTGGCAAGACTGACCACATGATCAAGCATTGTCCTCAGTGGGAAATTGAATGGAGAAGGAAATGGCTGAACGAAGGAACATGTTCAACCCAAAAGGAACAAAGGATCAACAAAGGCTATGGTTGCTGCTTGGGGAGAAACATCAGATAAGGATTCAGAAGATGAAGCTGGAGATGAACAAACACTTATGGCCATTGGAGAATCAGATGATGAACAAGAGGTAAGTGTGATTCATCTCAAAGACACGATTAAATTTTTGTCTAAAGAAAGGTAATCTGAACTATTGCTAAGCTTCATCGATGAGTTTGGGGTAATAAACAATGAGAAGGAACAACTGTCTAGGGATTGTGTGATCTTAAAATCCAAGTGCAAAAATCTAGAATATATGGATAATGAAAGTGACAGTAAAAATGCCGAGTTGAAGAACCAGGTTTTTGAACTTGACACCAGTGTCTTAGAACTTAGGTCTAAAAATTTAAAACTAAAATTAGGAACAGGTAAGAAGAAAGCTGATCACACACATCTCATCTTAGAAGAAAATCTAGGAAAGATGAATGATGTGTTTTACAATAAAGACGAGTAGATAAGAGTCTTAAAAGAAGACCCAAGGAAGGTAAAACATGAACTAAACAGAACTTACAAATGGAATAAGGCTTCTGATGCACTATACTGGCTACAAGAACACCACAGTAGCAACAAGAGAGGACTTGGCTATGGGACCCAAGCACCTAAGTGGGACCCCAAAATCAAGTACATCACTCTTCCTGAAAACAAAATCTGCACGCATGGTGGCAAGACTGGTCATTACAAAAATGAATGTAATGCAAAAGAAAAGGCCAGTCAAAAGAATAAAAACCTTTGTTCAAGAGAAAAATAGGCTGCCTGGGTGGGCCAAAAGGAATTTAATTTACCCCTTTGCCTATAGAAAGGGACTTAAACTAGTTTGGGTTCCTAAGACTAACCCCTGATTTTTTTATAGGTCCAAGTGAAGGGAAGTAGCTAAATATGGTACATGGATAGTGGCTGCTCAAAACATATGACTGGAAGCAAGAACCAGTTCCTTTCACTTGAGGACTTAAAAGGAGGTAATGTCTCCTTTGGAAATGAGAAGAAATGTGAGATTATTGGGGGTTGGAAATGTAGGTAAGACAGACTCACATTCCATTGAGAATGTCTACTTGATAGATGGCTTGAAATATCGCCTAATTAGTGTATCACAACTGTGTAACAGAGGTAACCTTGTAGCATTTACCTCTACCAAATGCTTTGTGATTAATCTTACCACTGACAAGATTGTTTTGCAGGGAACTCTTTCAGAAAATGAACTCACTTGCTTGAGTGTGTTAGACAATGATCCCCTCCTGTGGCACAAAAGACTTGGTCATGCAAGTCTGAATCAACTTAACAAATTAGTCCTCAAGGACCTGGTGATAGGGTTACCTAACATCAAGTTCAAGGAAGACAAAGTTTGTGAGGTCTGTACAAGGGGGAAGCAGGTAAGATCATCCTTTAAAAACAAGAAAATGATAAGCACAACCAAGACGATGGAACTGGTTCATATGGATCTCTAAGATCCAATGAGAACATTGAGCAGAGGTGATAAGAAATATGTGATGGTACTTGTTGATGATTATTCTAGGTTTACCTGGGTACTGTTTTTAACATCTAAGGATGAAGAATTTGACATGTTTACTGCCTTTGTTAGAAAAACTCAGAAACAACTAGATAATCAACTTGCATCAATCAGGTCTGATCATGAAACTGAATTTGAAAATGTTAAGTTTGTTGAATTTTGTGATGAGCATGGTATATATCATAATTTTTCTACCCCTAGGACTCCTCAACAAAATGGAGTAGTTGAAAGAAAGAATATGACTCTTGAAGATATGGCTAGGACTATGCTTCTTTCTAGTAAACTGCCCCATGGCTTCTAGGCAGAGGCTGTAAATACTGCATGTTACAACATTAATAGATGCATGGCTAGATCTCTTGTAGAGAAGACTCCCTATGAGTTAGTTAAAGGGAGAAAACCAAATATACCCCATCTTAGGGCATTTTGATGCAAGTGCTTTGTGCACAATAATGGAAAGGACCCCCTAGGTAAGTTTAATCCCAGAAGTGATGATGGAGTATTCTTGGGATATTCTTCACATAGCAAAGCTTATAAAGTGTTCAAAATAAGAACTTTGTGTGTAGAAGAAATTGTACATGTAGTTTTTGATGAAACTAATAACATCCTTTCTAAGAGACATGAATATGAAGATGAAGTTATTGGGCTGGTAAAAGAATTGAGTGAAGTCTCAACTCAAGCTAAAGTTGTACCAAAAGAAGGAACATGTGATGGGACATGTTCTTCCATCCAGGGCAACCTGACAGGGGGAACTGAATAAAGAGGAACTGTAACCAATCCTCTAAAAGAACCTGTTCATGACCCTGTTCCTCAGCAACAAAACATGGGAGAAACATCAAGCAGAAATCAGTTGGTTGTGAAACCTCACAAGTATCAAAGTTCTCATCCCATTGAGAACATAATCACTCATCCAACCACTAGAGTTAAAACTAGATAACAATTAAAGAATCTGTGCATTTTTGTTGCTTTCTTATCTCTTATTGAACCTAAAAATGTGGCTGAGGCTTTGCAAGATGCATATTGGGTAAATGCAATGTAAGATGAACTCAATCAGTTTGAGAGAAGTCAAGTTTGGCATCTAGTCCCAAGACCCAAGGAAAAATCAGTAATTGGCACTAAATTAGTCTTCATAAATTTAGCCAAGAGAAGGGTATATATTATGATGAGACCTTTGCACCAGTTGCAAGACTGGAGGCAATAAGACTCATCATAGCCTTTGCGGTACACATGGAATTCACTCTTCATCAGATGAATGTCAAAATTGCCTTCCTGAATGACTACCTAAAAGAAGAAGTGTTTGTCAAACAACCTCCAGGGTTTGAGAGCAAGGATTGTCCGGAACATGTGTACAAATTAGACAAGGCTCTCTATGGACTCAAGCAGGCTCCTAGAGCATGGTATGAATGACTGTCCAAATTCCTACTTGAACATGGCTACAAAAGAGGTAAAATTGACAGTACTCTATTCTTGAAGGAAAAAGGTAAGCATCTTCTTGTGGTACAAATATATGTTGATGACATAATTTTAGGGACAACCATTGACAAACTAAGTAAGGATTTTGCCAAATTAATGGGGAGTGAGTTTGAAATGAGTATGATGGGTGAGCTTAAATTTTTCTTAGGCTTACAGATCAAACAAAACCCAAATGGAATCATGATTCTTCAGCAGAAATATGCAAAAAAGTTGATTAAAAAGTTTAAAATGGATGAATCAAAGGAAATAGACACACCCATTGCAACAACTAGTAAATTAGACATAGATGAACCTAGTTCATCTGTTAATCAGAAGTTGTATAAGGGTATGATTGGTTCACTTTTGTATCTTACTTCTAGAAGACCTGACATAGTTTTCAGTGTAGGGCTTTATGCTCGTTTTCAGGCAAATCCTAAGGAATCTCACCTGACTGCTGTCAAGAGGATACTGAGATATTTGAAAGGCACTACTGATCTGTGCCTTTGGTACCCTAAAGGTAGTAATTTCAATCTAGTAGGGTATGCTGATGTTGAATATGCAAGTTTCCTTGTGGATAGGAAGAGCACCTCAGGTATGGTTCATTTTCTTGGTTCATGTCTTGTATCATGGGCCACTATAAACCAGAATTCAGTGGCCTTATCCACTACTGAGGCTGGATATGTTGTTGCTTCCTCTTGTTGTGCTCAATTGCTGTGGATCAAACAACAGTTAATAGATTTTGGCATTGAAGTTGGTTGCATTCTTATCTTCTGTGATAACACTAGTGCTATAAGTATGACAAAGAACCCTATTAATCATAAGAGGACTAAGCACATAGATGTTAGACATCACCTCTTAAGAGATAACTATGAGAAAGGATTGATTACCATAGAATTTTGTGCTACTAATAAACAAATTGCTGACATCTTTACTAAAGCACTGAGTAGAGAAAAATTTGAAAGGAACAGGTTGGAATTAAGGATGATTAATATCACCTAATGGGACCAGCTCAGAATGTACAAAAAAAATATTGAAAAAATGATTTTTTGGCTAGGAAATCCGAACTTGTGTAAATATCTAGATTAATTTTTACTCAGTTTCATACTGTAAATAGTATAGTCCTGTGACATGTGTTAATATGACTCACTGATCTCTTACAAATTTTTTCTATTGTGGTAAATTTAGGCATGGTCAAGAGAATTCTAAATGAAGAACCTGGTTTATCAGTATTGTTTCATCTGAATGCCAAAGTATGTTTTCTATACTCTTCACAATTAGAAATATAAATATTTAAATCACGAGCAGAGTCCTACAATTGTTCAACTCCTTAGAAAATACTATCCGTTTGTTTTTGAACCAGTTCCGTTCTTATTAGAATTTTAACCACAAAAATTGCCTAAAATCTATGGAAGCCTAACCGTTCGTTCAACCTGCAATTTCAGGTTGATTAGACCTCTAATTGACCGCTAAAGCTACCGTTATCCATTAAATGAGTCTTTCCCTTTAAATACTCATTATTACTTCCTACCACCCTCATAATTCAAAACCGTCAAAAACCTTCTTCACTCTCAACTGCTTTCTTTTCCAAAGGTTTAACTCACCAATTCTCTCAAGAAATCAGCTATAATGTTAAACCCACAAGGTAACCCTAGAGCTCCTCCACAACCCACTCCCTCTGATTCATCTACCCCTCCTCCACCTAGCACGACTCCCCAACCCAGGCTAAGGAGAGTAAAAATGCTTGTTCGCAAAACGGTGGCTTCTGGTGCTCTCTCAAAAAAAATTGAATGAGAAATTAAAGGCAAGTCAGGCTCAAGATTTTGATTCTGACTCTGATTATGAGTCGTACAAATATGCTAGTGAGGGGAAGGACCTGGGTCTTCTGACTCTGAGAAGGCTCAAAAATCCCCTTCTAAGGTAGGTTCTTCTTTGACTAAAAATTTTGAAAATAGGTTTGTTTTGGTTGGGCCTATCAGGGATGTGGAATTAACTGAGTAAAGAAGGAGTGGAGGTAAAAAGAAATTTGAAAAAGAAAAGAAGAGAGAGGGTAAATGTGGTGATGTGAGGGGAAAAGGGAAATGAGTGGCTGATTGCTCACCCACTGCTGTAGTGCCTGTACCTACTATTTGTGGGGTTGCACAGGAAACTGTTGAAGAAAGTGGCAAGAATTCAGGGGGAAGTTGTTCTGGTGAAGCTGCTGAAGGGTTAGTTAATCTAAGTTCACAGAGAGATGAACCTGATTCATCAACTGAAGAAACCCCAACAGATCTTCTGAAAAAGGTAGGTGCAAGTTACGATCCAAAGAAAAGGAAAACTCCCACACCAAAAGCCCCCAGTACTGCTAAACATTCCAAGAAACGAAAGGCTTCCTCCCCAACAACTACTGAAACTTCCTTGCCAAAGGGAAGAGCCACAAGAAGCAGGGTGAAACAGAGTGAGAGTGATCTACAAAAGGATTTGGCTGAAAGTAAGAAGAAAAGAATGGATAAAGAAAAAAGTCAAGGTTGAAGAGTCCTCAGAATATGTTGATGTTGAGGAGATGGAACGGGTCCATTAGAAGAAAGTTACAATAGTGGAGGTTCAGACCCCAAGCCCAAAACGACCAAGACTTCTTCTAAAAAGTCTTCCTATTTGTCTGAGGCTCCTGAACCTTCATTGGCCAAGAGGACCAGGTCTGCAGTAAAAAGCAAATAAGTTAGAGTTTCTGAAGATGAGGAATTGAGTGGTGATGAAGAAAGTGAGTCTGATGGTGAACAAGACAAGCTGGCCATGTTTGGCAAAAGAAATTTTTTGAAGGGAAGATTGTTGAAAGATTTGGTGGAACCAGGGATGGTTCGTTTGGTTGACACAATAGCTGCTCAACTCTGGAAGGACATGGTCCTTCAGATGGATGAGAGATTGGCCAGAAATGAAATCATTGAATTCATGGCAAATGCTGAAGTCAAAGATGACAGAGTTACAAGCAAAGTCAAAGGAGTTCAAGTGACATTTGATGCAGAGAAACTGAAAGAGATTCTAGACATCCCTGCTGAGGGATATGATGAATACACCAGACAGAGATGGCCAAGTCTGGATTCCCTTCCATCTGCCCTTACAATCACTAGGAGATTTTGTGATATTGTAGAGGTGAATGAGGCCAAGTTTGTGCACAAGAGTGAAATGAAGCCACAACACAAAGTCATTTTGAGTTTGTCAACAAGTGCCTACTGCCCAGGCAGGAGAGAAGGCATATTGAAAATTATATGGACTTAGTTCTGATGGAGTGACTTGAAAGTGGAAGGCAAATAATTGGCCTTCATTCATCATCAAGCTACTGGACAGGGTTATCAATCGCTCCAAGGCTCATGCTACCCCTATGGCTTTATTCTGACTACAATTCTGGATAGGTGCAATGTGCCTCTGAAGAAATGGAAAATGGCTACAAGCAAGGATTACTTTGGTATTAATACTCTACTTGCTTGTGACTATTTAGTCAATGCCATCCCAAATGAACCTGGTTTATCCAAGAAGACACCTATCAACATTAAAGTCAGGGCTCTTGTTCAGGAAAGTGAAGCCAAGGATGCTGAGATAGCTAGGCCAAAGGCTCATTTGGCAGAGGTTGAATCTGAGAGGGATGCTCTCAGAATTGAGCTTACCAAGGAAAAGGAGAAGAATGATGGGATTTTTAACAATATGCTGAATCTTCTCCAAGCCCAATACCAACCCTCTAGCTCCCCCAAGCCTTAGGAATTCTAGCCTTTATCTTTTGAACCTATCTAGTACCTTCAGTGACCCGGATTAGGGATGTTTCTTTCTTTTTGCTCATGTTTTGAATATTATTGCTTTCTGGTTGTGGATTGTGGTAGCAACATATCTTCTATCAATGACATCTACTATTTTTGCTTTTGTTAAATGTTAATATTTCCTTGATAGTTTAAATATGTTTGCTTGATTACTGATGATTAATCCATGATTGCACTTGCAGTTGCCCCAGTAGCCATAAGTACTTATTAAAATCTGGGACTCACACTTTGTATGCAACTTTTTGATGATGCCAAAGGGTAAAGACGTATTGTGCTTTACATATTCTGAATAAGTGATATTTATGACCTAATTAACCTGGGTCCTTGATGATAAGTGAATTTTCTAAACTATGTATTGATGGTTAAGCTGAGTTCTTATAGGATCCAAGTAAGTAAAAAGCATAGAGTTTGTCATCATTAAAAAGGGGAAATTTGTTGGCCCAAGTAAAGGTGAAGTTTTGAAGATTGACAAAAGAACTCAGACATGGACTAGGTCCATCTTGTGAAGCACACTCATGATCAATCCAAACATGTGAGATGCACGTGAAGGGGATAAATCTAACTTATCAGAAATATTATCTCATGATCTGATAGAAAAGGTTGAATATTGGATAAGGAGAGAAAAGACTCCTTACACGAAGAGAACACAGTTTAGGAAGAGGATATTGTTAGAGTATGAGATCTACTAGAACTCTTCTACCATAGAAGAGTAACATCTGTATCCCAGTCAATCTCTAATTACTAACCCATTAAATATCAGTGTTGTTCTCTTTTACAGATAATGTACATAAACAGAAGTTAAACGTAAATTGAGAGCAAAAGAGCAAGGCAATTTTGCAAGCAATTTATGTGTGATTCAAGCGTGCAATCCTGAAGCTACTTGAACAAGATAGAAGAACCAATTCCAAGTGTTTATCTTTTATTCTAGTTTAATTGTAGTAGATGATTTTACATTGTACCTTTCAGCTTTTATAGAATCAATTGTATTAGGTACCTAGAGTGTTCAAGTTTGAGTTAACTTGAAGTTGTCGCAACAGTTGAGGCTGTGTGCCACAACGGGATTAGAGTTAATCCTAGGTTTACAAAAGAATTTTTGTAAATGCAGTTTTTGGCTCAGTGATTTTAGTGGAAGTTTGGAAAAATCCTATTGATTAGTATGTTGTGGTTTTTCCACCTTTTGAGCCAGGTGTTTTCCACGTAAAAATCTCTATGTTCTTTATTTTCTTTACTTATTATTTCGCAAACAATAGTAGTTGGAACACATAGAAGAACCAGGTCCTTCTATAATCTAATTAAGCGAAAATTGGGTACCACACAAATCATCCCCCTCTTGTGTGGTATTGAAGTATAAAACATCACATCGAACAAGTCAAAAGGTGCGATTCACATCAATTATTCTCCTTTATTTCCTAAGTACTACTCTAAAAGAAATATTACTACCCAGTTCAAGTTACATCCCATGAAAAAAGAACCCGTGCACAAAGAAATACCACAGGGGATTATTACTACCTAAGGGAAATAAAAAGACACATTTTTGTATTTTTTTATATTTTTTTGTTTAGACTTTAATCCCTCAAGAAAACTATCTAGGAGATCCATCTTCGGGAAAAGTCCAATTTTTTTTTCTGAAAATAAATTATCAAGTAAATTAATACAACTAAAATGGCATAGAAGGTCACCTAGACAATTTTCTCACCCCATACTTAAAATTGTGCATTGTCCCCAACACACAACATAAATAAGAGGGTAAATGAATCTCCCTAGTAGGCCAAAGGCCAAAGCACTATCAGCTCATGGGGTACTCATACTTCTCTTCAGGTATTTTGTTTTTGTGCGGGCACCCAAGAATTAGTTCTAACCCTCCGGCTTGCTGTTGCATCCTTCCAATGGCTTTTCATTCCATGCTCCTACAAAATAAAAACGATAATACAGAAATAGTACAGTAAGAAAATAATTTAAAAAACTAAAAATAAAAAAAAGAAGTAAAGTTGGGTTGCCTCCCAACAAGCGCCTAATTTAATGTTGTGGCACGATGTGAACCACTTTCTGCCCAAATTTTGATTCAAGATTATGCTTATGCTCCTGGGGGGAGGTACAAATTCTTGTGAGCCAAAAATTAAGTAAATTCTCATGCACCTTTTGGCTCTTGACCGAGGAGTGTCACTTTGCCTAGACGACCTTGAATATTTCAAAATATTCTAAATGGTCCAAACCCAATTCGAAATAAACCCGAGCCCCCAGACCTTGTCCAGTCATACCAACAAGTTGATATATACTAACCAGACCTATCCAAAGCCTTCAAAGATATGTGATAACATCAGATTAATGAATCAAAGATCAAAACACAATGCACATTCTCTTAAGTTCAAGAACTTTCAAACTTCAAACGAAGCATCCAGTTCAAGCTTAACCAATCCGGATTACGTCTAAACTTTGCACACAAGTTCCTAATAATAAAAAAAACTATTACAAGTTCTGGAACAACAAACCGAGTCTGATATCCTCAAAGTCAACTCCCAGTCAAACATATAAACTCTCCAAACCTTCAAATATCCAATTTTCAGGAAATATAGTCAAAACATCATAGGAACCTTCAAATCTAAATCTGGACATACAACTAAGTCCAAAATTATCATATGAACCTATTGGAACCATCAAATCACCAATCTGAGGTCGTTTATATAAAATTCAAACCTTGGTCAACTCTCACGACTTAAGCCTCCAACAAAGGAACTAAGTATTCCAATTCACTCCAAAACCTCCCTGGAACATACCAACCATTCCCGCAAGTTCCAAAATAATGCACAAGTGTACGAGAAACATTAAATGAAGAAACGATGATCAAATACACAAAATAATCGACCGAACCATTACAAAAACATAATAGAAAATCAAAGTAGGCCCACCTTTCCCCATAGTTTGAATTAGTGATTTTTTCCAGTAGCTTTAGAATGGAGCTTCACCATCTATTCTACACATGATTTATATTGATATTTTAATTAACAACATAAAAAATATCACAATCCAAAATTTCATCAAGTTGTGACAGAACCTAACCCAACCTATTGGGTAAGCCCACTAACATAAAATATATTCAATACCGAAGATCATCCATAAAATAAATAAGAATGCAGAAATTAACTCAACTAATTCCGCGAACTGGTGGAACAAGTCATGAACAACTACAACTTGAATTACAACATTGACATGGGGAAATATATCAACTTTTGAAAGTTACATAAAAAAAATTCAAGTGCTATACTATCATGAACAAGATGATAGTAGATGGCTGGAACGCTATAGTCTTCAATGCTCGCCCTCGAACTCTACAACTACTTAGCTCCCAATATTTGCACACAAGGTGTTAAAGTGTAGTATGAGTATAATCGATCCCATACTCAGTAAGTATCTTGACTAACCTCAGTGAAGCAGTGGTGTCACGACCCAGTTCCCATCATAGGCCATGATGGCGCCCAACACTACAATTAGTCAAGCCAATAATGAACCACCAACACAATCACCCGTTCATAACACTTTTAAAATCAAGAATTTGATTAATAAAGCGGAATTAAGTTTAGAAGCCATGCTGACATACTTCCACTCTTACTACGTCACGAAGTATGCACAAAACATAAAGCGTAATGATATAAATATTAGGTGCAACCATGAACTTCTAATAAAAATTACCAAAACCTGTCACAAGTACATGAGCCTCTAGTAGGA